ATACCTTGCTGCAAAATAATGATTTAACTCCCCAATGAAATAGAAAGTGCATTTTCATTTATGATTTATTCAATTCTTGCATTACAATTCGACGATCATCTTGGATGCCATGCCAAGGTGTTAAGTTTTCATACCTTGGAATCAGAGTGTAAAATAAATGGACTGGAATGTGACTTTAAAAACTGTTCCATTTATAAGGTGTTACGCTTCAAAAGGTTTTTCTCTTAGCAGTGTACAGTGTACATATCATATTGTATTCAAACATAGACAGAATAACAGAATATACGCACACAGTGACCATTTAATCGAATAAATCAATGAACGGTGATGTACATGTTTATTTTAATTTGGACATACATTTTGCATGAAACCCCATTTTCTTCTCTTTAAAGCATATAGTGTATGATCTGCTGAAACTCACGCTATAGGCCGATCAATTCATTTCTGTGTTAAAATATTTATTCCATGTTATTTAAGAGGAAACGTGAACTTTATCATGGTCAAATGGAAGCCCAAGACCCTACCTAAGTATAAAAAATTAAAGTGAGTAAAAATCTTCTATTGTTTTTGATATTTTAAAGCTTTTTAAATAAAACAGCACATATTATATCGCATTTATATCTTTACATCGTAAAATCAATCACATATACGAAAAATGGTCAAAGTAATATATATTTTTCAAAGCATATGGGTGTTCTTGTGCCTACAAAACCTTATTGAATCACCAGTAGCGTGTAATATAAACACAAATAAATCTTTTAAAAATAACCGTTACAAGATGTTTGAATTTTGCGCATCTTGTCGAGTCTTTGATCACCCACTTTTAATACTAGGCGATCTCTGTACATACAGTGAATATATTATGTAATTAAATGTACATTGGCATTAATATAAATTAAATCGTGCGATTCAATATTGATTTAAAACTGATTTTGCGATGAAAATGCAGGAAGACATAGTCCATGTAGCGGGTCATGTAGTCGTACATCAGTGATTGAATCTCAGCCTACATGTTCGATCATTTGAATTCAGCGATCGTTTCAACGTTTATTGTTGAAATCTTCTCACCTCCGGTTATCCGATCGATGCTCCAGCATCCACTAAACTCTGATTGATATTCATCTGATAAAATATTTGTATTTTCATGATGAATTTGTGCAAGATTTGTTCGTGAAAAGTCCCGGTGAAAAGTGTACTTGTTTTTGACCGTGCATAATAATGAGCTAACGCTACAGGGCCGTCGTTGATTTGTCAAATTTTACCGACACAAACATTGGGTCGGTAAAGCTCGTGGCTTTCTACTTTTTAGAACGTTTTAGTTGGTGATTGTTGTTTACACAATAATAAAATATATTTCAGTCACACCCGAACATATACAAGCAATACGTAATACTTAGATTCGCTGAACAAAAAATCATCTTGGAAGAAAGTTTCGTTACTTTTGTGTGATGATGCTTAAAGTGCCACACAAATTTAATCAACATCAACTGAGATTGCCTTGATCATATCTACATGATCTACATCATAAATTGTATAATGCCACTAAAACAGTCAGTCATTTGCCCAGCTATTGTCTACTTTACCCCATTTTACATTTATAGGGGGAACATGTGTTTTGACTCAACGGAGGGCAGTGCAGCCATTGATGGATCTGCTACTCTGCTAATTTGAAAACTTAGTTTTCAATGAACAATGGTCAGATTGAGTCCATGAGCTGTATGGCATTTGTTTTCAGTCTATCAGATTGAGATAAGCATTTCTTTGGCATTATATTCAAATGTTTTTAACATTTATAATATTCTATGAATAAAGCACACTCTTTATATCCCCGGGCCTAGTATATCACAATCATTCGTTCAATAACTAATTTGATGTATTAATCATGAATTAATACGATTTAAACATAAATAAACTAATTTTGACCTTTTTGAATGTTAACTTATGACGACCAGATCCTCTAGTTTTGATGGAAATTAATTGTGAACAAAAATACCAATGCCAATTATGTTTATAATCCTATCAAAGATAATTGAATTCATCGTTACATACATAACGATGAATTCACCAATTATAACAAGTGTTTGAATTCCCAAGCTATCAAAAATACAACCAAGCTAGTTTTATGCAATATTAAACTATTTTATCATAAGTTAAACTTAGTTTTGTGTATGGATATTCTGTATGATCGGCAAAATAAGTAAATTTCATCAGATCTGTTTGTGATGGATATTTTCTTATATGTGCGAAAATTCATGCGACAGAAGTGCAACATCCAATTTTTAAGCAATGGCAGACTCTAACACACTAACATCTAAAACCAATAATAATGCCCCATTTTAGTCTCGTATTCATTGTAACGAATAATACAGCAACAATTATTTCGAACATGTGGTTAATTGGACTTTTTGCTAATTGCAAGAGAGCTACACAAACTCCAAGTAGTTGATTTCTATTGTTTGTTTGATATCATTTTATGGAAAGAGTAAAAGCTTATATGCCAAGTGGTCTAACACTTTTTTCTGATGGTAATGAACATTTTTTTCTTAAAACAAACTCAAGGCACTGGCTTGTTTCTTCAAAAAAATGTGAAAAAATGCAGACACACCTCGGACTTGACACATGTCCTCTATTGAAAACATAAACAATCTTTCAAAATTACATTTTCTTCATTTCTTATCTCAATTCCAGACTCATATAATTGGAATGAATGAATCAAGTAACAATGATTTTTCTGAATTTTCTGAAACTGGCGGCACCCCTTTGAAAGGCTGTACAAAATAATATATCGTTCAAGATGGGTTTTGTTAATCACTTTCTCTTAGAAACATGCGGTGGCGAAGTAAAGTTTGGACATTGAACAAAATGTGATAATAAATACCTGTAAACATGACTTGAAAATCAAAATACAAAACGGCGACAGTAGCGAATGATTCATTTTGACACTTTAGAGCCCAGTGGTAAAAAATACATTAATGAAATTCTCATTCAAAAATGAATGTTCACATATGGCCTTGAGGTTATTGATGAAATATATACAGAAATTAAAGATACACCACTAATATTTTCCGAGATAATATGGCGACATCAATTGGGACATTTTTTTGAATTTGGGTGCAACATTTAAATTCATTCAAAATTATTGATATTTATCATGAAAATGAAATAAAATTAAATGTTCTCATATGCCAAAATGTCATTTTTGTATACAGAGTCTAGCATCTAACCAATGGGATAGTTTTACATTGGTTGACAAATTTCCACATGGGGAGTCCACTAATTAACTAAATTCTTTAGAAATTGAATATAACAGTGAAAATTCAATATATAGATACAGAGCTGTTCACTCAATTGGATCACTGATTTCAGTTAAAATATATATGAAGTAAAAAACCTGTGACCATCTTTACATACAGGGTAAGATCACTCAGCTGTGAATGATAAACACAGGGGTCCAACTATGTACATTGAAAACAGTCATTTTAGACCAACTTGATGTTTGAAAATCAAGGATTTTGGGTCTCATACTGCATGCACTGTTTTTCTTCAAACTTGTTTCATTTAAAAAGCAAAACAAAAATGCCTTTCTGTAGGTACATTATTCTATCATACAGAGTCATTGAAGGTCTAATCTTTTTTTACCTTGAGAAGGTCAAATCTAAAAATCTATAATTAGATTTGAACTTCTGAAATCTCGTGGGTGATTTTGAAAAAAATGAAGTCAGTCTGAGCAGTATTTATTAAGTTATTGGAAGTTGTTTGTTACAGACGTCAACTAAGCATTTCTTACAGACGCCAATCGCCAACCGCCACGGGCCATCACAAATAAATGGAGAGGGTGTTGACATAAAAATAAACTAAAAAAAACTAGCTAATCTAACTTCATTTGTACACATTCTTTAAAGTAATGATTAGAAATCAATTTGAAATGTTGCACATATACTTATTCAACTGGATGCTCAAGAAAACTTATTTTTAATTAAGCTTAAGTTTTAAGTTATAAATGTATTTACACATGATAAGTCATGAGATAAGTCAACGTGTGCATTAGCCTGAGACGCTATAACCTAATGTTGAACTTGAGTGATTCCTTTGAAATGGGGGAGGTACACTCCCCTCCATAAGTTTGGCAACCTTAGATCCCCCATTGAACTACGTGTTAAAGCCTCTTTACCTTTGAATTTTTATTTACTTAACCTGCGATGAATTTTTTTATACTATTGATGGAAACGTAATTTGACTTTATTTCCAATACCTCCAAATTTTCTCAATTTTTTTCCTCAATTACAATAGGTCGAAAATGATGATAAATTTTTGAAAATCAACATTCCCATGTTAACCAATGGGAAATGGTACGTTTGCCGCAAGTCATGTGACAGTATATCCATCCATCCGAGTCCATGCAAAAAATATGAGTTAGGTAGGCAACTGAATTTGCTAACTTTATTTAACAAAAATTGATATGTTTCTTCAGCTTCAACAAAGTTATAGGGCTTTAAAGTCAAAATTGTTTTTCAAAAAACCTCTCCCATTGAAAAAACACAGGAGGCGAAAAATTATTTTCAAAAATGACTTTGAAGCGCTGTAACTTTAGTATTCATCAAATAAACTAAACACTCAGTGTACAGAAAAGTTAGACAATTCAATTTTCTATATAAAAATATTTTTTGCTGAATCTTTTACTGAAAAGATATCCTGATTTCTGATTTGCCCCGAACCCTCCATTTCCCATTGGATTACATGGGAATGACGGTTTTCAAAAATTCATCAAATTTATCATCATTTTCGACCTATTGTAATTGAGGAAAAAAATTGAGAAAATTTGGAGGTATTGGAAATAAAGTCAAGTTACGATTCCATTAATATTATAAGTTATTTCATCGCCGGTTAAGTAAATAAAAATTCAAACGTAAAGAGGCCTTAACACATAGTTCAATGGTGGAGCTAAGGTTGCCAAACTTATGGAGGGGAGTGTATACACTTAATTTCATGAATGGAATATTATACAAACTAGACTTGTAAAGAATTGGGTCTAATTTACTCTTTTATTGATTTATTTACAGTGTAAAACTGTCACTTAAAACCAGATCAGAAACTTCTACTATGTAGCAATTAATGTGTATTTTGCTGTATTCAATTTTATAGCTCAGTAGTCGCATAAATACATGTAGGGAAAGCACACACGTATACTGTTATTGGTTCGAGTGATGGAGCAATCAGGCAAAAAAGTGTTCATACTTTTAATTGTATGTTCATGTTCACTGATATTTCTCAGTATACTGTTATCAAACTATTGGAATGTAGGCTTAGTTCAATACAAATATTGGATAGAAAAAAATATGGAGCTTTTGAGAAACAAAACTGAATATTTATCTAACAAACAAACTCAAGTTGGAAACATCGTACTTAAAAACAGCAATGACAAACTTGGTAATTCTCAAGTTGGTGCAGAGAGAAAGGATACAACAGAAAATTCTAAAAATAATCATTATTTTCCAGTAAACATCAACATATCTTTAGCACGTGATGAAGTGAAGCATATTCAGGAAAATTCTGAGGCTAAATATATTGTTTATCTATGTCCCGGGATGTGTGGTGGCTGGGGTGACAGAATGACAGGTATAACAAGCACATTTATGTGGTCCTTAGTGACAAAGAGGAAGTTTGTAATCCAGCATCATCACCCATGCGCTCTGACCAAAGTTTACGTATCGAATCATGTCAACTGGTCAATTAATTTGCCGAAGGGACTGACTCAAACTCAGCGTTACCTAATCGACAATGAACAGTTTAGTCCGAAAGAGATAGGAACACCAAACACACATATCGAGAAACGATACTCTAATGATGTGATTATATTTAGAAATAACATAGATTGGATAAAAGCATTTAAAAATGCACTCTATAAGGACAGACTGATTGAATTAGGATTTAATCCCTCAAATCTGAGCATGGATTACATATTTCCAAAACTACACAATTTACTATTTAAACCTCAACAAGAACTCCAAAAGAAGCTGGAAGACTTTCTCCATAGTACAAAAAACAAGTCTCTTGTATGTGCGCAAATTCGCATTGGAAAGAACCCGACAATTCCAAATGACCCCACCCGAAACAAACCAGAGTTTCTTCCAATAATCTGGGACTTTTTAGCGCAGTACAACAACTCTATCAAATACAAAATATTTGTAACCACGGATTCAGAGAATATACGCCAAAGTGCCAAACGATTATTCCCAACTACTATTGCAGACACAGAGGGGGTGATTACCCACACCGATAGGTCCAATCAAAATCAAGCATGTCAAGGCATGCAGAAGGTCGCATTAGATTTCAATATTCTAAGCCACTGCGATGTTTTAATAATAAGCCGGAGTAATTTTGGTGAATATGCAGCTCGTCTACGTAACAGCGCTAAAGAACTATATGGCTTCACTAATGGTAATATTGTTAAAGGATTCCCTCGTGGGGAAAAAAATGAATATTTCAACAGGACAACTAAACAGTTCAGTAAAAAACAGTAAACTGACTATTATGTATATGATTGTTAAACACTGATACAGTTAAACTATTGTCCATAATGTTTTTTGATTTAATAACATCATTGAAAATAAGATGCTAATATTCCTGGATAGGTATTTAGAATTTGAGTATCTATAATTTTCAGTACTCTGTACAGTCTCCACTGATGATTGGTGTTTGGTATTCAGCAGTTGGTGTTCGGCATTTGTTACAAATGGCTGTTGGTGACAATTTGCAGGAATGCCATTTCTTTGTAAACTTTACATAATACATCCTCATATTATTCACAATTTAATTATTATATTATGACCTGATATTTTGTTATTCCAAGTCAGAGTGACACGGATGATCTTCCTGTAGTGGTGGGACTCGTGTGAATTATCCTACTCGAGTAGAGGCTCTTGAACACTCGATTTATTCGCGATTAAATGAATGATTTTGGAAAAAAGTTCCAAAAAAATTTCTTTGGAAAGTTACAAACTTTCACTTCCGGTAGCAATGTTTTCAAGTGTTCTCGGCTCAACCTACCTTGAATAACTCCAACATACTCATCAAATTATTCAAATAGAATAACTCAATGCACTTTACATGTTTTTGTTTTGCATTGAAAAGTAAAAAATTAGCAATTTACGCTACTGTACTCCTGGTAAAATTCGACGCTTCAGCTTGAGCCCTGCAACGGAATCTTCATAAGGACAGTTTTATGGTATTCATGAGTATTCAGAATTTTTTTCATCTAAATGGTACAATTTATTGAATAAATAAGATCTTGAGCATTTGAACCACGATACAAGATTTTTCCGACGAAAATCTCATGAGAATTTCTGAAAAATTGGCAAAGACATGAATTGGTAAATTGAATTTTTGCAATTCGCCAAATTAAATTGATCACCAAATTGAGTTGACTAACAGTAGCAACGTTGCTCTGCTATAACATCAGTAACTCATCGTCTACAATAATTAAATGCATATTCAGCAAATTGGTTTGCCCAAAACATGGAGCCTTTCTGTAGAGAACACCTGTCTACAAGAAACAATCTTGGCCAGTCCGGACAGCATTCTTTGTAAGCAGGTTCTACTTGTATACAAATTGTTACACCTGTGCCTTCAATTCAACTGATTTATCAACAAAGTAAATTCCTGGGAAAATGCTCTGTCATTGATTTTTTATTCGTGTAATTAGTACCTGTTTTAAAGTAAGGCCAATGCCTTGGTCACATTTGCTCCGATTTTCACTATGGCGCCTGGCCGATTGAGTAATTGTTCAAAATTGAATACAATATTGAAAAAACACTCAATCGGCCAGGCGCTGGCCGATGGATCAGAGCAAATGTGACCCAGGCATAAGCTGCTTTAGACAAAAAAATGCCTATAGTTTCTCTGCTAATCAGACTGTTAGAAACAATGCAGATTGAAGACTTTTTAGTGCAAAGAATATAAGTTCAGACATTTCTTAAATTGCATGGGAGAATTTTATATCGTTATCAAGCAAAACAGGCTGGCATTTTAGGTTAAAACTTTATTTTTTGCAATTTTATGAAAAAATCGTTCAGGCAGACCAATGTTTTCAACTGGATGCAAAGCTTCACCAAGGTACCAACAGGGCAGTCTGAAGTGTTCAACTGGGTGCGGTGCCTGGTCAAATGTGGATGGGAATATCACTGAATATTGTTCTGGGAGGAATATATTTCATATTACCTCCTTTGGTTGTTCATGATTTACAGGGGTTTGCCTACAAATGTTAATCTCTGCTTTTTTACTCTACTTACCTATTAAACTTTTGATGTTCTTGAGTAGGGCATCTGCACTAAGACAGTTGCTGAAGTCTTGGTTGAGTTCAGTGACGAGCTTAGCGTATCCTTCACTCTCCTCTCTGAGAAGATTGAACTTCAACTGCTTGTAACTGAAAAGCATACAGATACAATTCTTATTCACTCTCCTCTCTAAGAAGATTGAACTTTAACTGCTTGTAACTGAAAAGCATACAAATACAATTCTTATTCACTCTCCTCTCTGAGAAGATTGAACTTTAACTGCTTGTAACTGAAAAGCATACAGATACAATTCTTATTCACTCTCCTCTCTGAGAAGATTGAACTTCAACTGCTTGTAGCTGAAAAGCATACATATACAATTCTTAATCACTCTCCTCTCTGAGAAGATTGAACTTCAACTGCTTGTAACTGAAAAGCATAAACACCCCATGCAGACAGATCACCTAAAATTACATTCGTATGATGCGAGACTCAACAATCAACGGGAAACTGGAAAATAATTTGCTACAATATGGGTGACAAAATGTTTCTAGTTTCCTGTTGAATGTTGAATGTCGAGTCTCTCAAGGTATTAAATAAAAGTAACATCATACTTATGTCCGATCATAAGTTTCAAATATAAAGACCAATGTTAATGCTACCAGGGGGAATTTGACCTGCAGGCCTTACTATTTATGCATATTTTTTCTGTTTTGAAAAATTTGTACATGTATTTATATTTCTTAGTTTTTCAAAGAAATCTACAAATCATATGCTCAGCGCCAAAGGGATGTATGTGAATACAAAATTCCACTTAGAGATGCATCTTTTTGGTGCTGAGCATGCGAAATATCTCGTTGTGTTATCTTCACATCGTAATTTCAATCACCTTTCTTAAACGAGTTACCTTGAAATATCAGAGTGTCATGCTATTCCCATACTTGTAGAGCTTAACGTGACTGTCATTCACCATTTATTAAGCAGTAAAAATAATTTGATACATTGGTGACAAAATGTTTCCAGTTTCCCGTTCAATGTCGAGTCTCGCATCATATGAATGTAATTTTAGGCGATCTGTCTGCATTGGGTGATACAGATACAATTCTTATATCTTAAAACAAGACACACATTGATAAATATGGCGAGTAAAATGGCCACCATGTAATTTTCCCAGCATGCCCAAATGAAATGAAATGTTGGCTCTATTCTTGCAGGTGTAACAATGTTAAACAGATCACCCTTAGGAAAAAAACAATTTTTTTACATGCGTGGAGAAAAAGGGTACATGTTCTCACTTAGTTCTACACATTTTTACTTCAATCCTCCCATGTGTGGCATGGAAAATTAGGTAAAAACAGGAGATGGCACTCTTGTTTTTACACACTTTTACCTCAGGGAAAAATGTGGGTGACTGTGGAGCAATGTGGGGAAATGAAGTAACTCTCATCTTATTTTTACTTAACTTCCCCACATTTTTCACACTGTGGAAGAATGTGGGCAAGGGTAGTTACATGGTTTTACATGCATTGTAGTGCATCTTAGAGAAAATAGAGGGACTGAAATATGCTCTAATATTTTTAGTTATTTTATTTAATATTTACATAGGGTATAATTCTCAATAAGCCTAGTGGAACCCAGCTTGAACAGTCAACTGAACTGAGTCAATCTTCCTTGAATATTGATGACAAGATTTATGTTGTAGATGGCAATATTTGAAGTAAAACATCATATACTTACTAGAGTTTTGTTTTAGTCTTGACATATTTCTGTTGGAAGGCCTGTTGCGATTGAATAAGGCCCAGGGCTTCAAGGGAACCTTGGTCGAGTCGCTCTTTGAGAATCTCATCTGGTAAGAATTTCTGAAATCAGGTAACACTCTGATTGGTCCTATACATCAGGCCCATACCATGGGTTCGGGCGAACTCCCCCCCCCTGGCCAAAAATTCTTTCAAAATCATGCAGTTTTTCACCATGCTGAGCACTTTTTAAGTGATTTTGGCCATTTTTGGACCCAAAATTGTCAAAAATGAACCCCTTGGAATTTTTCAAAAAGTGAACCCCCCTTGGCAAATCCTGGCTACGGGCCTGTACGTGTCTAGGAAATAAGAAGCCCCAGCTGGTATTTCATCCAGTTAACATGTACTTTTATATGTTCTTTATAATCAATGTAAAATTCAGTCAGATAAAGGTAAAGGCTAAAAACATGAGTGACGATCTTAAGAGAGTGAAGAATATCAATACTGAATAATAAAACTAAAATTTTATGCAATCTGTCTACAGAGTGTGAAATATTGCTTATGAAAGATACACCGGTATAATAGTATGAAATATTTGTCACAGCTGTATATTTTCTATGTGCGGATCATAATTTCCACAAACACCATATAATATGCCGTGGCTTCCAACATGCTTCATATATGAAACATAATGTTCTAGAATGTAAAAGCTTGACCTGGATAAATTGAGTCACTTCTTAGAGCAAAATCCTCCACCCGCTGATAAGACCATTCAAAGATAAATCCATCTTTCACATTTTTTTTACCTCCCGCCCTCCTAAAATTTGAGCTCTCAACAAGAGGAGTTTTTAAACAGGTTTACTTCATTACAATATTTCTTATGACATAATACATAATCAAGAAGTTAAACATATTAACTTTGAATGGCCTAATCTATGCATCAACAGTATATAGGAACACATTGAGGGATACTGAATTAATTCTGTAGCATTATCTGCAATAACATGCAAAATGTCACCACCTGCCATTTGTTACAGACACTAAATGATGACCACCAAACACCAACCACTGGACACCAACCACCAAATACAGTCAACAAAAAAAAGTTGCAGACTATAACAATATGTCACTACTTGTGGAGTGGTCACATAAAAACCAGTGCAATCCAAATGTCAGTAAGACAGGCCAAAGTGTTCAGATAAGCATATGTTTCTGATAATGGTTCAAGTTGTCAATGGACTCTTTTAGAGAGTCAATGTAGTAGACTATTTGCAACAGAGATGTTCACACCAATAGGGGCTTTGTTTAGATGCAGTGGCGTAGCCAGGATTTGGTGACCACAGGGGCGGATCTGGGAACCAACAAGGGGGGGCCCGAACTTCTGGTCTGAGAAAAAAGGTTTGGGCCCCTATAACCAAAAAGTGGGCCCAAATTTTGAAATTTTGAGGCCCATTTTTTTCAAAATTAGGCCTTAAATTAAAAAATAAGGCCTTAGAAGGCCCATTTATGACCAAAAAGGCCCACTTCTTGGGCCCTTAAGGCCTTTTTCGGCTAAAATTTTTTTATGAGCCCAATTATTTTTTCTGGGCCTTGCCGGGTCACCCCCCCAGATCTGCCAGTGCGACCAGGGGTTCATTTTTTTATATTATCCACAAATCTCCACCTTCATTGGGGTTCCTCATATAAAACCATTTTTGTAATTTTCTTACATACAATTTACACCCCTCCGAAAAGTGTGTCAACTGTAAACTCCCACATGGAGTGTTTAAGCCTCCTTATGTTTGAATTATTATTCGTATAACATGTACAGTGTAAAGCAAAAAACTGTTTTAGTGCTGGAAAAAATAAATTGACATCATGTCCGATACCTCCATTTTTGGCAAGATACAATTGAATTTGAAAAAGTTAGACAATTTGATTTTCTATGTTAAAATGGTGAATCTTTTACTCAATAGATATCCTGAAATCTAAAGGCAAGATCATGATTTTAATATTACATTTGTTTAATGAAATTCAAATCAAGAGTTAACATATATTTAGCTAAGTTTAATGGCAAATCTTAACACATCTTTAAGGAAATGACGTCATTTTAATTGAATAAATAGTGGTATTCACTAAAAATGACGTCACATCACTTAATTCCCGGGAATTTAGTAAAAAGTATTTTCATCCGATATGACAGACGGTGAAGTTGTATCAGGAAGTCCTCCCAAGAAAAGGTTCAATAATATCTGTATTAATCTCTTAGGGATGTATTCACCTCTCCATTCGGGCTGCGGTGAATACACCTTCAGATATATATACAGATATTCAACTCCACAGAATTCAATATTTGTATAATATTTTCGAAGAATGAAACATTTATTTAATCATGGCGTACAAAAAAGTCTTTATAGCTATATGATACACTTTGACGATAGAAGTGGCAGTTGATAATTGACATAACAGAATATCCATTGTACTCCGTAGGCTCTAAAAGTAAACCTCTTTCAAATTGCAATGCCTTACAACAAAAGACTCCTACTATAGTGCTGAAAATACCTATTTGTTCTTTCTTTGAATTGAATATATAAAATTCAAAATTCAAATTCAAGTCCAAGTACAGGTGCCCCCAAAACGTCACTCCTTAATTTGGGAATGACTTAATATCTCCGTTTAAAGGACTTTTCATGATTTTTTGTGTAGATAGAGGGTTAAATGCAAAAATCATTGGAATTTACCTAATAAGCAGTCAGTGCATCATATTTGACGAGATTGTTGAATTGTTTGAAGGTAGATTTTACATTCTATTGATAATGTGTATGAAAACAATCCAGAAATGGCTCAAATAATGGCTAAGACAGAAATCTCAATTTCAGAAAATTGCATTTTCAACATTTTTGGACAATATCACTAGACCATACCTGATATACGCAGATAAATTAAAAAATCATGTTTGAGTTTATACTAAAATGAGAGGGTAATTTTTCTGGGTCAACCTGTATATGGAGGTGTACACGTGAATTAGGGAGCATGCACGTTACAAATGTCCATTGAAATTCAGCAAAAGTAGAACTCTTTTGAAAAATCTTGGCTATGGCCTAAGTTTAGCAGTCACATCACAAAAGAAATCAAAGTGATGGATAATAAATGCTATACCCATTCAAATGCTTGTGTTTATAAATGATAAATACATGTGTGCTTTTCATACTACTTCATTCCAAAAAGTTTCTATTATTTGATATTTGCTCCTGGGGACTAATCAGCTCCAGGCAAGATTTTTTTGTTTGAACAAAACGAAGGCGCACAGATTTGAAAGAAAATGTGTTTTCATCAGTAGTAAGACAATAAGTAGTAACTGTTGTTTTTATGTTAAAATAAAAAAATAATAACAAATTTTATGTTAAATTGATTGAACAAAATTTATAATTATGGGAAAAAATTTCAGCTGCTTGAAAAAGATTTAAAGAGTAAATCGAAATATATTGCAAAACTAAATCAATTTTTTTAGTATTAAGACATTTGCTTTATTTCACCGGATATGAAGCAGCTTTTAAGTTGTGCGAAATTATTGTTATTTCTTTGGATAATGTCATGATGATCCGGGGTCTTCTCAAAATTAGACAATCCCAACCCTTGCCTAAGGTTGCCAAACTTTTGGAGAGAATTGTACAACTTTATTATGTTTTTATTTACTGGTCATATAAATTGAATTTAATGTTTCTGGTTTTCCACAAATATTTTT